TGTCTTGCTACACTGTGAATTTAATTTGAGGAACCTCTAAAGACCATGAATAAATGAAATAAAAGGTTAAGAACAGTTAGAGAATTCAAATATGTGTCACTGTAAAATTAAAAACATTTTCAAGAGCATCCTTGAAAAAAATGCAAGTTTAGTAAAAATGTGTCTAAATTAATCCAAGTATAATATACATTTTGTCATCATTAAAATAAAAATTAGAGCTTATGTATTTTTTATGTAAACTGAAAATATGCTCCAAAAAGAAATAAAACAGAGACTCAAGAATATCTAAAATACTCTTCAGGAATAACAATTCAGAAGGGCTTGATCTTTGGTTATTAAGATGCAAGCAGATGTCTGTCTGAGTTTCTTTTCCTGGTGCTATGACAAAATACACGAACAAAAGCAACTTTAAGGAAAAATGTTTTATTCTGGCCCACAGTTCAAGGTACAGTCCATCATGGCAGGGAGTCAAGGCAGCAGGAGCTTGAAGCAGATGTCATATCACATCTACAGTCAGAAACAAAAAGTAATGACTGCAGGTTGCTGCTCAGTTCCTTTCCTCTAGATTTACAACTAAGAATCTCAGCCAGGAGATGATGCCACATACAATGGGCAGACAGTCCTACCTCAGTGTAATCAAGATACTTCCCCACAAACTTGTGCAGAGGCCCATTTCCAAGGTGATTCTAGATTTCCAAGGTGATTCTAGATTCTGTCAAGTTGACAAAACTAACCCTCACAGTGTCATATTGGAACAAACTATTGTATTTAATGTATTTTTTGAGGTAGGTTTTTTGCTATGTAGCCCTGGTTGGCCTGGAACTTACTATGAAGACAATACTGACCTCAAACTCACAGAGATCCACCTGCCTCTTTCTCCTGAGAGCTGGGTTTAAAGGTGTGAATTACCGCACCCAGCACACCAAGATTTATTTTAACAAATGAGACATTAGATAAAAATAGAAGAGAGTCTGGTCTTCAAATAAAAGGGGTGAAACAATACAGCTTAAAGAACCAAAGGAAAGTGTTAGAGAGGACTTTCATAGCCTTGAACTAGGATGATATTAAACAAAGAATAAACAGAATACAACAATCATAAAACTTGAAAAAAAGCAATCTGTATTAAAATGATTAATGTATGTTCATCAACAGAAACTACCAACTGTGTGAAAAGTCAAGGAATGGGAAACAGGATTTGGCACATATTATATATGTGTATTGTACATAAACATATACCCTTAATTTGTTTGCTCAAAATTTAAAGATAAAGGCTTAACTCACATGAAAATGAGATAGGAAACTTGAATATGAACTTTAGAAAAAAGAATTTCTAAATGACTAAAAAACATAAAAAAAATCATTAATCCTAATTAGCCATTAAGGAAATACAAACTAAAGCTATATACCCATCAAATAAAAGATCTCACTTTTTAAAATATTGTTTTAGAATTTCATGCAATGTACTTCTGATGATATTCAGATACCCTCCTTCTCTACTCCCACCTTACTGAACCCCCCAACACCATGTCCTCTCTTATTGTCCTTTTTACAGACCTAGTGAATCTAATCTATGTTTCTTAAATGCTCTTGGGTGTGGGTCTGTCCTTTAGAGTCTTGTCACCCTATCTGGTGACATACTAGCAAGAAAAATCAATTCTCCCCCTCCCAGCATCAATCAATTGCCATCAGATCCTAATCTAGGTCTAGGGCTTCCTGACCACCTTTGCCATCCATGTCTAGCTTGGGTTTGAATGGGTTTTGTGAATACTGTCATAAGTGCCATTTGTTCACATATGAAACTGCCTTGTGGTATCCAGAAAACATCATTTCCAAAAATGTCTAATTTTATCAAATGTTGCTGAGGATGTAAAATAAAGCATTCCAACACACTAACCATGGAAGCACTAAACAAAACAATCATGCTGAAAGCTATATTACCTCACAACACTGAAGGAATGTGTTCCAAAATATCAATGATTCCTCTCATTCTTATGCCTTTAAAGAGACATGTATGACCTAAGACAGTGTGGAGAAAAACTTGTAGAAGCATTACTTGAAATATTCAAAATTAATAACAACTTCTTCTATGGCTACCAACATTATAATGGATACAATATTGAAGAATAATCATATAATAAATGATTGACAAGCCTTTTTTATAAGAGGCTAGATAATAAACCCTTTAGGTTTTCTGATTTGTCTCTGTCACAAGTACTCAAGTCTGTAATTTTAAAGCACCTCTAACCAATTTGTGAGCTGTGAGGAACAGAGGGTCATAAGGGCCAACTTAAGTTTAGACAACATGACACTCACGTGGATTATCTGACATGGGCCCAGATGGCTAGCATTGGACATCCAGGGGGCTATGTGTCAACACAAAATGCCTGACACGAGATGTCCAGGAAACCCAAAAGTAAACAGGGATGTAATCTGCTATTTAACTATTCTCGCGGAACACCACTCTTGGGTGGGTTTCATATTAATATGACCTTGAAGTCAGAGCCCTTTAGCCATTGCCTTCACCAGCCCGCCTGTGGTGTGCCAATCTGCTCTCATAACCCCTTCTTCTTTCCTGGTTTCAGAGCTCAGATCTCACATGAGTGACAACTCATAGCTATTTTCCACTAAAACTTTTCTTTTTGAGACAAGGATTCCTTATGTATCCCAGGTCGGCTTCAACTCACATATAGTCATGGCTGGCCTCCAAGTTGAGATTCTCCTGCCTCAGCCTCCTGGGTGTTGAGCTTACAGGTGTGGACCATTATAACCAGCTATTCTAGTAAAATTTCATTTACAAAAACAGGTGGGGAATTGAACTTGGCTCACTGGCCTTTGTGTGCCAGTTCTTTGTATAATGTAATTTTTTGAGAAAGTAGAGCAAACTATAAACTAGATAGAAGAAGAACGAAAAAGAAGTAAAATGGAAAGGAAAAAGGGTTTTCAGGGCACTGACAATATTTTTGTTTGTTTGTTCTGTTGTTCAGGAGCTTGAACTCACTAGAGGCCTCATGCATCGCAGGAGGGATTCATTAGGTTAAGTAGGAAGATAAAAGTTTTCTTCAAGTACATAAGAGCTAACCTACCCCACAAAAGGAAGACAGTCAATCAAGTAGAAATCTGGAGGGGAGGATATAGCTTAATTGGCAGGGTAGGATTGTTAATGCTGTATAAATGCTGTGTGTTAGCCCAGCCTGTAATCCCAGCACTCAGGAAGTGAAGACAGGAGGAACAGGCGTTCAAAGTAATCCTCAGCTACATAGCAAGTTTCAGGCCATCCTGGGCTACAGGAAACCCCAACTCAAGAAAATTCAACAATAACAACAACAAAAACAAAATAAATAGAATTCTGTAAAGTAAAACATGAAGAGTACATCTAAAATTCTCAGACAATGATGTAAAACTTATTACCATATGTAGTGTTTTTAATACAGTGCAAAAACTACCCAGAAATCTTAAAGCATGATAAATATTTGAAAGAATTTAAAAAGAATGAGTTGTAGATTGACAGGTTTTTGATATATGCCTAATAAGAATTATAGAATGGAACAAGGAAGAATTTAAAAATCAATATTATAAAAGATTTACTAACTGAGATTTACTATAGTCTACAAGAATTATGAGTTTCATATAGAGAAAAGGGCTGGGGATTAAAGAGAATAAATTACAAATTGATGCAAATAACTCTATATATGTCTCAGCAAGAATGTCCAATATCAACATTTGAAACCATATTATCCCTAGTTCTAAACCATAGAACTCTCTAATGTTTTCTGAATTATTTGGAAATAAACTGAATATATCAGATCCTTTTACCACAGAATATTTCAATTTGGGCTTCTTAAACCAGAATTATGTCATATTTTTGTTTATTATTGAAATCAGCAAAACGATATCTATAAATACTGGAATTACTCTATTGTCTCTATTCAAATCCTGTCACTAGATCCTCTAAAATCCTTAAAGTACTAGTCATAGTAATAGTAATAATAATTGTTCTCATCCTCTTTCATTTCCTATCTTTTCCTTCCCTTCTTTTTTGTCCTTTCCTTTTCTCATCACACAGGGAGACCAGTTGACTGCTTACTCCAGGTGAAATTCAATGTGAACCAGTTGGCATTTTGAGACAGGATCTCAAATAACTCGGACTCTCCTTAAACTCCTGACCCTCCTGCCTCTACCTCCTAAGTATAGCAATTCCAGTGTGTGCCACAAAACCCACCTTCTTTTCTCTTCTAGTTTTAATAATTGTCCTTGTTCTACTTCAAAGACCTCTTCATAAAGTATTAAATTCAAATATATGCTGGGCTGGAGAGATAGCTTAGCGATTAAGAGCACTTGCTCTATACTCACAAAGGCCAGTGTTCTGAACACAGCACCCATGAAGCAAACAAGGTGTCCCCAAACACTTACCCCATCTTCCAGGAGGTCAGAGACAAGACAATTGAGGTTGAGAAGCAAGCCCCAGGTTCAGGAACAGACCTAGCTTCCAAGGAATAGGCAAATAATGATGGAATAGGATGCTGGTTCCCTCTTCTGGCCTCTCAGAACCACATATGTGTATACTCATACAGCCACAGCCATAGCCCCCCTCACACACACACACAAATGACATTTTAAAATGTAAAACCACTGCTTAAGTTTGCCTTCTGTATACTTAGCTTGTTCATTTGCCTTAGTTTGCAAGATAATTCATTACTTCTTATTTCTGGTATTTCTATATATTTTCTTTACTAAAATTACCTAGTTCTTGTGTGTGTGTGTGTGTGTGTGCATGTGTGTGTGTATGTATATATATAAATTTATTTATTTTAAAGGATTTGGGGGGTTTCTTAGGGTTGGAAATCAAAGCCCAAGGCATTGTGATGCTACCCAAGCACTCTAGTATTGAACTGCATCCCAGCCATGGAAATTATTTTTTATTAGCCTTCTTGCTAACTTCATTTATTAATTCTAATATTTGCCTCTGGACATTTTTAGTTCCACTTTTTTTTTGGGGGGGGGAAGCAACAGTGTGAGTTTAATGACATCAGACTAGTGACTGGGACCAACCTAACAACTGCAGGGAGCATGGGAAATCCCACAGAGGCCTCACCCACTGGTGCCTGGAAGCCAGCCAAGCAGTGGGAGCCCTTGGGGGAGTCTCAGCATCAGGGCTGACTGCTGGTTGAAACCTTTGAGTACTTTCTTTCAGCTCATAGAGGCAGAGAAAGCTGGGGAAACATCTGGTGGCAGGCTGCTGGAGGTGGTGCGGAGGGGAAGGAGGTCAAGGTGGCAGGCTGCTGGAGGTGGTGCGGAGGGGAAGGAGGTCAAGGTGGCAGGCTGCTGGAGGTGGTGCGGAGGGGAAGGAGGTCAAGGTGGCAGGCTGCTGGAGGTGGTGCGGAGGGGAAGGAGGTCAAGGAGGGGGTACCTGAAGACAGATGTCTAGAGCCAATCCAGTTCCCTGAGGCCCCACTACTGGGCTGCACCATCTAATCCATGTCAGTGGTATTAGTCAGGTAGAAGGGGCGGATGACCACACGGAAGCTGTTGAAGGACCCTGAGGTGCAGGGGAAGAGGGAGGAGGCCTTGGTGCCGTTGGTGCCCAGAGCGCTGGGGATGGGGGCCTTGGCGTCTTCAAAATCTGTGACGTCTACCACACGGCGCCCTCCACACAGCATCAGTGCTTTGTTTTTATACCCGACGGTGGGGTCCGAGTAGCCGGACTTGATGAGTCCCAGCACTGGGAGCTCCTCTGGAGAACAAGAGAGCCCATAGTTCCAGCAGCTCTGCATGGTGGGGAGGTAGGTAAGGGACCAGGAGATCAGCCTATCTTTGAAGAGGAAGCTGGGGTGCTGTGGGGTCTGCAGGGACCTGTAGGGGTCATATGGGGATGCTGATGATGTTAGATAATAGTGTGTTTGATACTTTTGGAAACTAGATGTCATCTTGCCCCATGAATCCCAGGAACTGAAGGTCACCAAGGCGCTCCAGGTGGTTGAGGTATAAATCCAGGGCTTGTAGGTATCCTCAGTGAGATTCAGGCCTCTGTACTGGGCCAGCACTCGGAAAGGCACAGTGTGGAACTCCAGGGCCTGCACGGTCTTCCTCTGGAACAGTGCCTGGTGCCCCTGGTACAGGGACAGGTTGAATTGCAGCTCAAAGAGTTCCTCGGGTAGTATCATGGGGAAGCGGACCTGGTCCAGCAGGGCCTCCACTACTGAGTGGGAGGCACCCTTCTCCTTGCTCCACAAGTCCAAGGCCCTCAGCAAATCCAGCTCACTAGATATGGCCAGCTCATTCTTTAGTTCCACCACCTACCAATAGCACCATCATCTAGAGACCACATGAGCCTTTGGGTAATACTCCTCAAATCTTAGCAGGCAGTCTGGCTATTTCATTTTTTAATACACATTTTTAATTTACTCCTTATTCTTTTTCTCTATTCATTCTTGTATATATATTCATGTATTCATTCCTTTTCAAACTCCTCTCACACCCCATGATCATGTTATCCTCTCAATTCCATGTTCTCTATTATTTATGTTTTGTAACCTACTGAGGCCAACTAATGCTTCTTATATCCACTAGAATATGTAAAACCTACCAGGAGCTACATCCCTGAAGAAATGTGACTCTCCCTAGCCCAGCAGCCTTCAACTGGCAATAGTTCCCCAGTTGGGGGAGGGGCTCCCAAGGCTGAAATGTTGACTGGCTTGACTTGTACAGCAACAAATTTCATGGATAAATACTCCCCAAACATCAATTATTGGAAATGTTCAAGGCAGAATGTATAATATTCATGCAGAAAATATTGTAAGGCATCGAAATCCTGATCACTGAATAAGTCTATCAGTAAAAGACAATTGAAATCATTAATAAAGACAGTAAATCAAAAGTTTAAGCAATGCAAATTAGACATCACTTCTCTCAGGTTACCAGGTTAGCCATTCCGACCCTGTGGAAACACATGATTTCAATCACATTAAAAACTCTTTCAGATATTAAGAATATGAAGGCCTTTGCTGACTGCCTGAGAGTGCCTAGGTATGGTCTCCACGTGGTGGTGAGTGTACTGACCAAACTGACCCCATTTCAGATAAAGTAGCCATCTTAGAATTTTAGCCAGTGAATTTCTAGCTCAAGGATTGTTTTCAGAAACTCTGACCCCTCTCCCCCTTACTTCCCAGGACAATGCTGCCACGGTTATTTGCTTTCTAGAGATATGGAAAACAAAATTATTATGATATGACTATCTGCTGACTCTGGCTTCTGTAACTTGCTTGTTTTGCTATTTTAGGGCACCTTGACATGTAGACTGAGATCACCCTCTACACTGTTATTCCGGGACCACCTTGTCAACATTCCTCTTTGTGGTTTTTAGCTTTAAAAGGTCCCTTTCCCTCCCCCTCCCCATTGCAGCACTCTAATCAGATGCCTTGGCTGCACTCCAAGCTAACTTGAATTAAATCTTTTATCTCAATCTGAATTGAGTCTGGTGGTCTTTCCTCAATAGCCCCAGGGTCCATAACAGTGAGCTTCTCCAAATCATGCCTTTCCCATCCCCTTATATTGGGACCATATGTGGCACCTCCCACTCTTCCGAGACTAGGCTTCTCTACCCTTCAGTAGGGGCCCAGACCTTTTCAGACTGCCTGAGAATGCCTGGATCCAACTTCCAAAAGGTGGGAGCTTCCAAAATTGAGCTGTGCCCATTCCCCTGTAATGGAGCCGTGTGTGACCCCTCCCACTGCTCCAGGGCTAGTTTTCTCTGCCTTGCAGTAGGGGCCCAGACCTTTGTAGACTGCCAGAAAGTTCTGGATCTGGTCTCTGTGTGGTGGTGAGCTTCCCCAAATAATAGCCATGCCCACCCCCCTGCATTGGGACTACATGTAGTCCTCCCATTACTCCATGGCTAGGCTTCTCTGTTCTTCGGCTGGGGCCCAGACCTTAGCAGACTGCCTGAGAGTACCTGGATCCAGCTTCCACATGGTGGTGAGCTTCTCAAATCATTCTATTCACATTCTCCTATACTAGGACCACCTACAGTCCATCCCACCACCCCATGGGCCCTTTAGTAGGGGCCCAGACTTTGTAGACTACCTGAGAGCACCTAAATAGGGTCTCCCCTTAGGAAAATTCCCAAATTGTACTGTGACTGCTCACTAGTAGAGGCCCAATCTTAGGAGGCAGCCTGAGAGTACCTCACTGGTGCCTGACTTGGGGCTCTGTGGGAATTCCTGAGTAGCTGGACTGAAGATATCTGGTCCATCCAATATAAAATCAAAAGAGAGAACCTGAAGCCTAGACCAACCAACTTTACATATCCCATAAGAAAACAACCAAAGCACACCAATAATACAAACAGAAACAAACTTCAACTCAACAAAGGAAGGCTTGATTTTCATACCAAAAACAAAAATTAAAAAAAAAAGAAGTCCACATGCCATGCCAAAGCAATGGAAACATAATAATATGGAAAACCAAAATAATATGTTCCCGCCAAATGCCACCAGTCCTGTAGAAGAGTTTTACAAAGAGAACCCCCTAGAGATAACCCAGGACACAGAATTTAAAAGAACAATCATAAACATGATTAAAGAATTCAACAAATTTAAATAACACACAAACATTGGAGAAAACTCAGGCTCAAATGAAGAAGGAAGTGAAACACTCAATAAGTCAATTTGAAACAACAGGAGAAAGCCTCACTGAAATCTGCTGGAAATCTGGGACACCATGGTAAGACCAAATGTATGCATCATAGGAATAGAGGAAGAGGAAGAATTTTAGGGTAATAGTATTGAGCAGATCTTAAACAGGATTGTAGATGAAAAGTGCCCCAAATTAAGGAAAGACATGCCCATGCAAATATAAGAAGCACATAGAACACTAAATAGACAAGAAATAAGAAGAGACTCCCCAGGGCATATAACAGGAAAAACAGTAAGTGTATAGAGCAAAGAGAGAATACTAAAGCTACAAAAACAATTCACATATAAAGAAAAACTCATGAGAATTAGAGCTGAGTTATCAGTGAGACTATGAAAAGCAGAAGAACCTGGACCAAAGTATTCCCAGCTCTAAATAATCATAGATGCCAAACCAGAATACTTAACCCAGCAAAAAATGTCTATTATGTTTGAAGGGGAAATAAAAATCTTCCATGACATGAATAGACTGAACGGATACATGTCCACAAAAACAGCACTTCAGAGAATACTTGAAGAAATACAAACAATGGAAAAACAGGAACAACTATACCCAAAGGGAAACAGAAAGAAACCAAATGGAGGTATAATTATGGAAACACAAATTTGAACCAAGAATGCAAACAGAAATGAAAATGACAGCAACCAGTACTCATTTTTCAATAATAACTTTAAAAGTCAATGGACTAAACTCCCCAGTCAAAAGACAGAGATGAGTTGAATGAATTAAGAGACAAATTCCATCCTTTTGTTGTTTACAAGAAAGTCATCTCACCTTCAAGGACAGGCACTACCCTAAGATGGAAAAGAATATTCCAAACAAATGCCCCTAAGAAACAAGCAGGGGTCGCAATTCTAATACATGTTAAAATACACTTCAAACTAAAACTAATCAGAAGAGAAAAAGAGGGTACTCAAATTCTGATCAAAGGAACAATTGACCAAGAAGATATTACAATCATGAACAAATATGCCCCAAATTCTGGTGCACCCAATTTCATAAAAACAGTACTACAGGACTTTAAGACTCAGATTAACCCCAACTCAGTAATAGTAGAGGACTTTAATACCCCACTGTGTCCCTTAGACAGGACAACTGGACAAAGAATAAACAGAGGGACATCTGAACAAAACCATACTATACACAAAATGTACCTAAGGGGCATCTACTGAATATTCCACCCAAGCACCAAAGAATACACTTTCTATTCAGCACCCCATGGAACCTTCTCTAAAACTGACCACATACTGGGGCACAAAACAAACCTCAACAAACACAAAAAAATTGAAATAATTCTATCAGACCACAATGCAATAAAGCTTAAAACTAACACTGGAAGAAGCCCTAGTAACTACAGGAACTCATGGAGATTAAAAAAACACTCTCCTGAATGATGAGTGGGTCAAAGGAGAAATTAAGAAAGAAATAAAAGTATTAATGGAACTAAATGAAAAGGATAATACAACACAAAACCTCTGAGACACTTTAAAATCAGTCTTAAGAGGGAAGTTTATAGCTCTAAGTGCCTACATCAAAAAATCAGAAAGAGCAAAAATAAATGACTTAACACTGCAACTCAAGACTCTGGAAAGGCAACAACAAATGAAATCCAAAACCAGAAGGCAAGAAGAAGTATTAAAAATCAGAGGAGAAATTAGTAAACTAGAAACAAAGAAAACAATACAAATAAAAAATCAATGAATCTAAGAGCTGGATCTTTGTAAATAAGATAGAAAGACCCTTAACCCAGTTAACCAAAAGAAAGAAAGAGAAAATCCAAATTAGCAAAATCAGAGATGAAACAGGAAACATGACAACAGACAACAAAAAGATCCAGAACATTACAAGGGAATATTTTAAGAACCTATACTCTTATTAAATTTAAAAACTTAAAAGAAATGGTCAGATATCTAAAATCATGGGACCCACCAAAGATAAACCAAGAAGAGATCAACAGTTTAAATAGGCCCATAATAAATAAGGAAATTGAAACAGTAATACAAAACTTCCAGACTAAAAAAAAAGCCAAAATGGAGATGGATTTACAGCAGAATTCTACCAGACATTTTTAAAAGATCTAAAACCAATACTACTTAAATTAATCAAAAAGATAGAATCAGAGGGAGAACTCCCAAATTCCTTCTATGAAGCCAGCATCACTCTAATAACAAAACCAGGTAAAGACACTACACAAAAGAAAACTATAGACATATACCCTTAATGTACATAGATGCAAAAATTCTCAACAAAATACTTGTAAACTGCATACAGACACACATCAAAAAGATCATCCAACCCTACTCCATGCAGGGATGCTTCAATATATGTAAGTTAATAAATGTCATAAATCATATAAATGATCTGAAAGAAAAAAATCACATGGTCGTCTCAACAAATGCAGATAATGCCTTTGACAAAATTCAGCATGTATTCATAATAAAAGTCCTAAAGGGAATTGGCCTGGAGGGAACATACTCAACATAATTAAAGCTATATACAACAAACCCACAGCCAACATCGTTCTAAATGTAAATAGATTGAAAGCATTCCCATTGAAATCAGGAACCAGACAAGGATATCCACTATCTCCACTCCTGATTAATATAGTACTTGAAACTCTTGCTAGAGCAATAACAGATGAAAATTAAAGGAGTACTAATTGGAAAAGAAGAGGTCAAATTATCCCGTTTTGCAAATGATATGATACTATGCCTAAGCTATCCCAAAAATTCCACCAGAAAACCCTTAGAATTGATAAACACTTTCAGTAAAGTGGCATGTTACAAAGTTAATCTACAAAAATCATTAGTCTTTCTATATACCAATAATAAGTAATCAGAGAAAGAGAACAGGAAAACCCTCCCATTCACAGTATATATATATATTTTTAAATCTTTAAAGAAAGAAATTGAGGAAGAAATTGGAAGATGGAAGGCACTCCCATGCTCATGGGTTGGAAGAATTAATATTCTGAAAATGACCAAACTACCAAAAACAATATGTACATTCAAGGCAATTCCAACTAAAATCCCCATGACATACTTCACAAAATTAGGGAAAAAATGCTAAAATTAAAATGGAAACACAAAAGACCCCAGGTAGCAAAGCAACCCTGAGCACAAAGAGCAATGCTGGGGGATTACTAGACCAAATCTCAAATTATATTTCAGAGCTATCATCAGAAAAAGTAACATGGCACTGAAACAAAAGTAGACACAGAGATCAAACATGATTATATG